CAGCAGTAGCAGCAGCACCACCACCACCACCAGCAGCGCAGCAGTAGCAGCAGCAGCAGCAGCAGCAGCAGCAGCAGCAGCAGCAGCACCACCGTTCGCTCTTGGATGCTGTGTGCCTTGCATGCTTCGAGCCAAGCGGAAGGGGAAAACATCACCACCATTACCACCATCATCACCATCATCATCACCGCCACCAGTACCGCTTGTGCCACTGCCGCCGCCACTGCCACTGGCAGCGCCACCGTGCGGCACCGGCACTGTCACCCGCACCGGCACCGGCACCGGCATCGGCACCGGCACCGGCACCGGCACCAGCACCAGCACCATCACCGCTGCCACTACCTTCTCCGTTGTAATCACTATTGCCACCGTCCTAGTCAATACAAGTTGTCAATGGTTGTCATCACTATGTGTGTTCTTCAACACCGTGCCCACCATCATCATTATCACCGTAATATTGGTCCAAGCCTAGGCCCCGAATTATGTTGAGCTTCGTCACCCGCATAATTTGTCATGTGCTTACTTATTGTTCATTTTCCACACTGATATCCGTCTCTCTTTGCTCGCGTGCCTTTACCATCTACCTGTACAACAGTGCTCCGATGGCCATGGCACTTTTCTGTCTCATCCTCATCATCAGCATCATGCGAGTCGCCATCATCGCTGACGTCAGGTCGTTGTCGGTCACCGGTGTAGCCACCCACATCCTACGAAATTTGATTCAATCATGTTTGTCACCATCTTTCCCGTATCCGTCTCTATGTTCAGTCTCACAACTGCGACCCCACCTGCATGGAGATAGCCAATGTTACAGTCATTCTGGCCACCTGAAACGCCATCTAGTCGCTACATGGCACATCAACTACGCTTTTTGTGCATCATCTTCTTTCGCCATGCCCTGCAGCACTATTCTCATCCTTGTCCTCCTTTCTTCGATCATGTGTAAAAGCCATGTTGCATTCGTGTGCATCTGTGCTCTTGCTGAGTATCGTCGGTCATAGGGTCCCAATAAAACACAAAATGGCACATACCGACAGGATCTAGCTCGTGCCAGGCACCTGGATTTCTGGGCATGTTTGGCCGGTTCGCAGTGATCGGAGACCGCTTAAGCCCCTTCGTGAGCGTAGCATGTATGATAATGGCGTGGCTTGGCTGGGGAGATCTCAGCCGATGTGTTTTTTGCTGTTGTGCTGTAGTAGTTTAATCTGCAGGCATGTTTAAGCTTGCTCCGCTTTGTTGGCAGCTGAGGATATCGACGCTCTTCGTCAGATGACTTTGACTGCTTGGCAGCGAGCCAAGGATTTCACCTCCTGACCCACCATGCTCCCGCGAAGAACCATGGGGCCGCGTCTATGGGCACAAGCTCGGCTGCATCTGGACAGTAGCTGGACAGCAGCTGAAAACACCGGGCAAGTCTGAAAGAGCGGGGGTTGTGGCATGTGCTTTGGCTGCTGATTTGCCAACGAACCAGGCTTTGTTTATTGCATTCCTGGCTCAAGGAAAATGATTTCAATATGGCAAGAGCATGCAGACTAGGTAGATCCAAAAAACAATCAGCCGTATGCTGTGAAAGACAGTGCAGGCAGGTAGCGGAAGTAGCCTGAGATTCTGTAGCCTGCAACTCCCAAAGACTGAGATGTTTGCTTCAGAGCCGCTCATCGACATTTCTGGCCTTCGCCTCAAGGAGGCTGGTTGGTGGCCTTTCAGCAACTGCGGCTGGTTCTTTGCATCGCCGCGGGCGTGTTTGGAGGCAGGGCGAGAGTGCCCTGCTTGATCGCACAGTGAATTTGCCAGAATCTCTCTACTTGTCAGAAGCAATCCTGCAGGATATCGTCAAGGATGTGCGTGATGCTGCTCACTTCACAGCGCACGTGGCTGGCATGATCCATACCAGATCGGCCAAGGCTTGGGCAGAGCAGGAAGCCAGCCGCAGCGCGGAAGCCCTTGATCAATCGCAGAATGCCTTGCACGAAATAACTCGTGTAGAAGCTTGGCAGAACTCTGCAGGACCCTGCGCAGGGATACTTCTCATGAGGCCAACAAAGTGCGCTGTGGCAGACAGGCAGCCTCGACGCTCGCCGGACTTTCTCTGAGTCGGCAGAAAAAGCGCGTGGCATACCAGGGTGTTGTCCTGCATGAAGCTTCCACGGACACATAAGTGTCCTTCAAGACTTTGCGGGGAAAGAATCCTCTCCGCTTCAAGGTCACCGCGGCTGACATCCCCCCTGGGCGTGGCTTTGAAGAACGTTGGACTCAGGGTTTTGGGACTCAGGCACTGCAGATTCGCTTGTGTGACGTACGAGTAAAGTGGCAGACGCTCCTGAGATGATCAGCTGGCCCGAGCTTCTTTGCGAGCTTTGCAAGCATGGATATAGGAGACGTAAGCAAGCAATGTTATATGAAATGGATGTTGAAATCACACACTAGCGTGACATTTCGTCGCGTCGCAGCGAGCCATGGCTGAGACAACGCAGCAGAAGGCGCAGCAAGAAGTCCAGCAATTCAGCGAGCTCCGAAGCCAAATGCAGACTTTTGTCATCAGATGCAGGCAAGCGGAATGCAACTCACAGCCAAGGTTCTACAAGGAGCGCAACGCAGATTTCCGACCGAACCCGGTCACACACCTTAGATTCTGGGCCAAATGAATTGGTTTGTTGACACCAGCCGGGAACCTGTTTCTCTTTCTCCAAGTGTTAGCCATCCAAACTCCACATGAACCTGAGGATATGATAGTTTGACTATCAACTTTACAAATGCGGGCTCCTTGACCCGTGCAATCCGGCGTGGAAAGCATGTGGAGCCGCTGTGCAAGATCCTGCCTTCCTGTGCAATGGTACCGGTGAAGGCGAGCCCTACCAGGGCAACCTGCGCCCCGAATTGTAGTTTCCATTTTATTTTCCATCATTCCCTATATATCCCAATAACCCTTTTATCCCCTGTAAAAGGTACCAAAATGAAGTTGTGACGCGAGGCTGGGTTGCCAGATGCCATGATGCCTGCGCGCTACCCCTCAGAGCCGAACCTTGCAGTAGAGGCCTTGAGAGGGATGCTGAGTTGCATGGTTTAACGCTGTTGGGTGGCCGCAGGCCAGATCGGATCCAGGCTCCTTGAAGAGGAGGACTTCAGCCCATCATTCGTTGAAAAATCCTGAAAGCCACACCGTTGGATGCTTTTTCATTCAGAGCCTAGACGCATGCGACCCAGCTGCAGCAAAGTCAGAGAGGACCTCCGACTCTGACCTCTCACGCTCGTCACAGCAGCAGCCTGAGCCCACGGCCGTGGCCTTATGACTTATGATGATTTATGGCGCGGTTGACCGGAAGACGTAGAAAAGGTAGACTCCCGGAAGGTGTTCGGTTGAGTAGATGTTGAAGGTGCCTATGCACTGGCCATGTGCAGCACACTTCGAGCGCCCGAGTCACAGCAGAAGCTTGGTAGGAACAGCCACAGCGTTCTATGCAGGATTATTTGCGAAGTGCTGCAACATCAAGCCTGACTACATATGACCACCAAGGACGCAGCAAGGGTGCGCGACGCCATCGCAGACTGGCAAAGGCAATGGAAGCTGCCAACTTCAAGTCTTCGCCTGAGGTCACTGCAAAATTGTGCGGTGCATGTATTTGCACACGGGGGGATTTCCGTACTTTTGCGCGTTTTCTGAGCTTTGCGTTGGGGGGTTGGGCGGGGGGGAGGGGGATAATAACGTTCGTGTTCCGAGTGCGTCCAATAGCCAGAGCATCTATGCCCAAACCACAATAACGTTCGTGTTCCCAGAGCATACCGTCCCCAGAGCATCCATGCCCAAACCACAATATCGGTCTTGTTCCCAGAGCATACGATAACCAGAGCATCCATGCCCAAACCACAATATCGTTCGTGTTCCCAGTGCATACGATAACCAGAGTTTTCATGCCCAAACCGTAATAACGTTTGTGTTCCCAGAGCATACGGTAACTAGAGCATCCATGCCCAAACCATAATAACCTTCGTGTGCCTAGTGCATCCGATAACCAGAGCATCCATGCCCAAGCCACAATAGCGTTCGTGTTCCCAGTGCATACGATAACCAGAGTTTTCATGCCCGAACCATAATAACGTTCGTGTTCCCAGAGCATACGGCAACTAGAGCATCCATGCCCAAACCATAGCAACGGTCGTGTTCCGATAACCAGAGCATCCATGCCCAAACCACAACAACGGTCGTGCTCCGAGTGCATCATATAACCAGAGCATCTATGCCCAAACCAGAAACACATGCTGTGTGGCAACAGATCAAGTCGTGGGTGCCCAATGGTTTGCGCTCTGTCAAGCGAAGCAAGCCAAACCCAGTGCTGCTGTTGTATGTGCGGCAGTGGCACTGGCAATTTGAAAATCGTCGCCAACTTTTGCTCGCGACAGGCAAGGCCCAGGCCCTAAAGCGAAAAGTGCGACTCTGACACGAGTGCGTCAAAAGCAAACGCCTGCAATCTCAGGCCAAAATTCTTCGAAGGTGGTTGCCATGTTATGGCCAAGGCTTCCGGCCTCCCAGGAAGTCGGCTGCCACCAGCCGCGGCCTCCAATCCGAAAGGGCAACGAGCTGGGAGCCCTACGCTGCACTTGGGAAATGTTCAAAACTTCGCTGATCAAAGGGTTGTTAGCCAGCCCTTTGTCTGCCGTCCTTGCCAAGGACCGTACCTCAACCCTTTCCTGTCGCTTGGCTTGGCTTTGTCGAGGTATCAGTGCTGCAATGCTCCTGCGCAAAAATGATCGAGGGATTACATAGTGCAATGTGCATGCATCCTGTTTATGACCACCTGTGTCTGAAATGCGCGCGGTGGTGCTTCTTTGTAATGGGTGTTCGTGCATTGCTTTCTGGTCACAGTGTTTGCCAAGCTTGAGGACTCGTTTCCACGACCGTCGTCCAGGAGGTGGTTTCTTTGCTGGGAGCGGCTTAGCCGCTGGCAAGCTGACTGCTGCAGCCTCAGACGCCTTCACGGTAGTTCTCAGAACAAGAAACAGAAATCAACAGCCATTCAACGCGGCAACGACCATTTGACAGAAGCAGCCTCAGGACAATCCAACCATCATATTGCTCTGGTATCTGACAGCTTTTGTTTGACAGCTGTGCCTCAGCTGTTGGCAGTAGCATCACCGCGAGCCATTTGAGGCCCTGCCGCCGGCGACTTCGCAGTGAGCAAGCGGAGCAAGCAGAGGGTAGTGAAGAAATCATGGAGCTTAAATACATCAAGTCGCATTGCACGACGCAAAACATTCCGCCAGATAGCCCAGCCGTTTCACCCAGCGCCTCCGACGGTTGCTGAAAGAAGGGCTTGGACAGAGGGAGGCGGTTTGGTCTGGCACCGGCCATGCAACGTCAACGGCATCATCAGTTGTTGGAGTAGTCAGAGTTCGGCACAAACACAAGCCCACTCAATCGGTTTTCCCAAAGGTAACCTAGCAGCCCCCAACCTGCCGGATACTTGCTATAAGCTTGCCAGCAAACCTCGCAGATGCTCATGTGGGTCCAGAGTGTCACGGGAAGTCCCAAGATCACCAACATCCCACAACATAGCCACCAGGGCCCCAGCGAGTCCCAGAGTCCAGACTCCATCTCTTGCAGCCGTGCTTTAGAGCACAAGGCAGGGCCACGCAACCCAAGAGGAATTTTAGGGGGTCCAGTCCATTAAGGGGATTCCATGCGCAAGGCTCAGGAAATCTAAAAGAAAAGAGCTCCGCCTTTCCAAAGGGCTTCAACCCCTTCTGCAGCCTGGATAGCAGGGATCCCCCGTTCGGAAGGCCGTGTTCGTGCTGTGCCCGGCACTTGTGCATGCGTTTCGGGTGTCGTCTGAGGTGGTCAATCGCACAAGATTCTATCGGTGTCACACGCTGCCGAGCTTTGCAGCCACCTGCTTAGCTCTTACTCAGACCCCTTTCCAGTATCACTGACGGAAAAGCATTATGGACGTGCCAACAAGCTCAGTGTGCATCAGTGCTTCTGGATGCAAGTGAACACAGGTGTGAGCACTGCCATTGGAGGCGGTGTCATGTGTGAGATGCTTGGAGCTTTTCACGGAGCAGTAGCAGATGCGCAAAAGAGCGCCTTTCATGCTTCTCGTGCTCTTGCTAGTCCGCATAGAGCTACCAGACGCCCTGAAACCTTACTGTGACTTTGACAGCTCGAAGACCCCCCAACACCACTGTACAGCACCCAAGACTTTCTTCTGCCCTTCCAGCGTGCACATCCAGAAAATGCTGACCTTGTATCACCAGCAATGTGCGAGAAGTTGGATAGAAGAAGCCAGGAGAACAGCTGCATGAAGCAGACCTGCTGCCTGAAAACCACGGCAAGAGCAGATGTAAACAATTTAGCGCGAGACCACAGCATTCATGGCCATCCACTTCATGGCCATCCAAGAATGGACTGGCCGGATTCCATCAGTGCCCCGGTATGCAAGAGTGTGGAAGAGTGGGGTCTGCACTTCAGGCGTGGAAAACCAGTTTTGCACCCTCAGAGTTTCCTTTGGGCTCAAGCAGCCAGAGGTTGAAAAGCGTGTTGAAAGTGATGACATGTGCACCCTGGCGTCAGGGAGTGCCAGCTGCGGCTTCGTTTGTAGTTGCCGGCTTTGTTCTGGCAGGCCTCCGCTTGCGGGCTCGGAGCCGCAGTAGTATACAAGTTGCGGTGGATGTCATCGTGCTGGCCCAATGCAATATGCTTGCCAGCAACACTGCCGCGATCGTGGATGCTTATGATGTCTCGAAAGCGGTGGATCGTTCAGCCGCTTTCTCAGGCCTCCTGATAGGCATCTTTATGGCCGCCAATCTCACTGGAGCTGCATTCTCGACCGTTCTCCAATTATTCCACCCGCACCTGTGGAGCACCCATGCCCGGCATGCCATGTTCTGGCCTTTGCTTGTTTCCGCATCCGGCCCGTTGCTCTACTGCCTGCCAACAGGTCTAATCTATACCGGCCGCGGCAGCGAGCTACAAGAGAGCCTTGCAGTGCTCCTCCTAGTAAGCCGAATACTCTCTGGCCTGGGGGCTGGAGCGGCATCGCAGGTTGGCTTGGTTTGCATTGCCAAGGGCAGTCGGGCCTCGGAGAAGTCTCAGCACATGGTCCGCTTCCTGTTTGCCAACATGCTAGGCTGCGGTTTGGGGCCCTTGTTGGCTGCATTCTACCATTCGGTACTTCCTTGCGAAGGTCCATTTGGGCCTCAGTTTTGGCAACTTGGTGTGATGAAGGTGATCTTAACTCTAGGCTCCGCCATGGCAGTGGCTCTTTGCTTTCCCCGAAAGCTGGAGCCAGGCGATGTGTCACAGCCGTCGCAAGTTCCGGTAGAAACTCGCGATGCCGACTCCAGCCATTCCATGTCCTCCGTGTCGCCAGAGGCAACTCTGGTCCGACAGAGGAAGGTGGTGCTCGGATGTCTCGCTATGACCGGCTTGCGCGGCTATCTAATCACTGCCTTGGAAGCAGCGACATCACTTTTTCTTCAGCTCCATGGCAAACCTGTGTCAGTTTTGTTGTATCTTCGGCTCCTTGGAATGCCAAACATGCCAAAGAACTGACTATGGTCGTAGGCCCTGCCAAGGAACCACTATGGGTGGCAGCTTCACACTATTGGCTTCTTCGTGGCGTTGACTTTCCTCATGTGTATCCCAGGCAAATTCATGCAAGGCCGTTTAGCCAAGTGCATGTCGGAGAAAGCCATGATTCGACTTTTTTCGATGGGTGCGATCCTTGGCGCCTTGCTGAGCCTCGGAAGCAGGACTTCTTTTCGGTTGAGTGTAGTCTGCAGGGAGCTGAGCTGCTTGTACAAATTCTGCGAAACGAGAGCCTCCTGCTAAGGATTTGCCTGCAAGATGGTTGGATGCTTCTAGTGGCCGATTCTCTCCTTTTTCCATGCATTTACATATCTGATGCCATCGGGCGTGGGGTGATGACTCGACATCTTCTACCTCAAGGTTCTGGAGTGTTTTTGGTGTCTTAAGATTTGAGCTGACAACATACAACGTGTCGACCCCCGAAGGTTCATGGTTGGATTCTAATCGAGCCTCTTTCTGGACGCTGCTCTTGGGTGGTATTGGACAGACAGCAGGTCCATGGTTGACAAGATGGTTTCTACAGACCTCCACGCAGGCGGCATATGCTGCACAGCAAGCTGCTTCTTTGTCGAAGAGATGGCCCGTAGACACATTTTGTATGACGTGTTTAGATTCCATTCGCCGTCATTCATCTGAACCAGCTGTCATGCATATTGAGGCTGGATCCGCTGCTTTTCTGCTGATCTTTGAAGTGGTCGTCAAGCGTCACATGATAGATGCCGTTCCACAGGCACAGGACAAACAATGCAAGCAAGATGCAGATCCTGAGGGTGGCCAGTCTTCACGCGAAAGCACAGATGAGTCAGAGAGACAGGTCCCTGCATCTAAGTAGGATGCCCCATGACGTCTGCAAGCTCGTGCACCGGCTGCGGAGGTTCTCTGTCCCTTTTAAGAAACCATCGTGTGCACCGCGATGCGGCGCGCAACTGCATGCCCTAGCCTGTGCACATAATTAGAAAGGCAGAGAAATTGGCCAGGCTTTCTTGCAGAGCGAGAAGCCAACTCAACACGCCCGAACAGGAATTCCTGAAACAATTCGAGCAGCTTGCGCTTGCGCCTCAGCGACTGTCAATGGATGGAAGATGACTGTACAGAGATGAATGTGCAGATGTAAAGACCTCCAGCCCTTGCAAAGGGCCGCGCAGCAAGAGGCCTGCGCTGGGCTGAGTGGACTGTCATCTCCCTCCCCAATTTGCACGACGCTTTGGCGGGCTGTGGAAAGAGTCAGCATGGTCGTTTCAGGATGTGCGCAGGTAGTATCGTTTGGAGTGATCCTGAAGCGTGCAAGAGCTTTTCTGCTGCAGCGGCTTCATTTCTCTGAACACAGGTGTGGAGACCTTGCACAAAGAGGCAGACAACATCCGAAAATGGCTGGAAGCTAGGCCCTCGTCAGGTCGGGGAACCTGTAGTGCTGTAGCTTATATACAGACTGTGATTCAATGATGCCTTTTGTGTTGTTTGGCAGCAGGACCAGACACAAAGCGGTTGGCAAGCTCAAGAGAGGACCTGGCAGGCCTCTTGTCATCTCTTGTCTGCGGTATGCCTGCCATTACTAAGCATAGGCCGAACGATGACCCACACCACTTCCTCCAAAGTGCCGCCAGCTACGCCTTCATTAGCAAGTGTCGCTCTTGACGCGGCTGGCTGGTTGATAGCATCTATGCCTCATGCCTGTCAGGAATCAACGCGTTTTGGAATGTTGACCATCGCAAGATTCATAGGTAGAGGGCCGTGAAGGGGTGGCTTCATTAAGGATGTGGCTGGCGGCTATGATCGTTGCCAAACCTACCGGAAGGATGATGCCCCCCAAGCTTTCGGGCTCACAAAACGAGTATCTGGCTGTTCTCTCTACACGTCAGAGTTTTCATCGCTGGTGAACCCAGCTGGTGAAAGCGGTAGCCAGGGTTGTCAGCTGCTCGGCGGCGAGGCACTTTGGCCAGCTTGGAGGGCCAGATCTCTCAGTTGAGGCAGCACTTGGCCTATGAGGACATTTGCAGAGTGGATTAGGCAGAGAGCAGGCTGATTATAGATCTTTCGGTGAGGAGCAGCATCCTGTGCGGCACCTTGCCGACAACACAAGTCGCGCTGACGCGGGAAGTTGGACGAAGACCAAGGCCTACAATTGCGCTGCATAAAAGCCTACCCGGAGCCTCTGGGTTTGCTCCAGGCCAGCCGCGCCCTGTTGCGGCTGCCTACCACAGCCGAAGCTCGAGCACAGCAGGCGCGCAAGAAAACTACATGACCGTACGTGCTGTCACTTTTTCTTTGTGTCTTGATCCTGCTCCTTGCCCGAGACGCGAGATGCAAGATGTGTGTCAGCAGCACTTCACGAAAACTCTGGTCATGTTTTCCGATGGCGCCTGGTTGCCGCCTTTCCGGTACACGTGTAAACAACCTACAGGTTCCGGTTCGGAAGCTACCCGCGTCAGTAACAAGCAGTAGACGACCGCGTTCACCAGCCTAGGACATCCTGCAGCTGCTGCAGACCACTGCTGCTCAGTTTCAGGATTCCGGAGTGTGACCTAGCGTGTGCAAACGCTTGGGGGTCTGGGTTGGGCTCCTAGCAGGCTTTCCACATGAGCAGCGATAGGGTCCGCGGATTGAACGAGGTAGGTCATGTTATCGGCATGACAAAGCCAAGATGCATGTCCGCGGCTTACAAATACCGCGTAGAGTTCTACCATATCTAAGGAAACGTCGTCGCCAATATCATTCTTTATTGGAATGCCCACCCCAACAGGGGCCCTGCAACCAAAGAACAATCCAATCATCACCGTCATCAATCAACTAGGTCTTTTGGCTGAGACTTGGCATTGAATGGATTCAGCCACTTAAAATGCGAGAGCAATCCACTGCCTGGCTGTTACTGCTCCAGGATCATGATGTCTACGAGGCTGTGGAGGTGCCAGGGCCAGGGCCAATCAAAGCGGGCTGTATGGCTTCAATATCGGAATTCGCAGTAAGAGTAAGCGGCCATCATGGGAAACAGCCCATTTGGAGAACCATGTGTAGAAGAGGGTTGGCTGGATGAGTCATTCCACAGATCTCTGAGGTGGCCGCCACTGAGGCCACCCTCTCACAGCTCTCACAGAGGCTCCGAGACCTCCGCAGCCGCTACCAGGCGCCCACCTGCATCTTTGGTGGAGCTGTTCGATGAGATCTTTTCTTCTTGCAGGACATGCGAACCCAATGTCAATCTTTGGGCAACCACCTGCAAGAGACATGTGCGCAAGAGGCAGCTTTGGGTCAGTGTGCTGGCGTTCGGCGTGTCCATTTGTGACCTTCTTTGAATGCGTTTTGGGTGTTTTGGCCCATGCACTGGACAGGTTTTGAGCTTTTGCCCTTAATTCTGTCTACCCACGTCTCAGCATCTGTCGGGTGCCGGTCCGCAGACTGGCTGACATGTCTAGAACTTTTTCGAGCTTTGAAAACTATGTAGAGCGGTCTACATTTGTGTGCCCGGCACGGATTGGACCTCGTTAGGACTTGCTGAGTGCGTGCAGAAGCTTATGCATTTTTTAAGTTCATCAAGAAGCTAGAACTTTGCAGCAGTGCAGCCTCAGGCCCCAAGGAGAGGATTCTTCCAAATTTAGATGAGAGGAGGGGGCCAAGGACAGCACGCGGCCAACTCTACTACACATCCGGTGTAATCGTATGCAGGAGCACTTCATGTCTCCAAAAGTTCCTTGCGCCCCGTGAGAAGGATTACGTCGATTACGTTGCTCAAGAGCGTTGCAATACACAGAGGCATGAACAATTCCACTTGTCCAGATAGGCATGCATGGCTGGAAGCAGAAAGTGTTGTAGCGGTTGACGAGGTCAAGACTGATTTCAATTCAAGTTTCATCATGAGCAAGAAGCATTTAGCAGCTCTAACCCCCCTTTCTCTTTACACTTGGTTTTACAATTAGCGATGATATTCCCTGCAAAGAGGTGGGCACCAGCACCGAGACTTTGCTCAGGAGTGGCGCCGTACCGACACCGATTTTGGCTGTTACCTCTAGGAAAACTGGCAACTGCACAGGCACAGATGGCAAAAGGAAGATCGACAAACGTCTAAGCCTCATGGCAGCGTAATAAATTTTGCCAATGCTCTAGGAGTTGTTCACGTGGAACCTGTAGGTTCTTCTACAATCTCTGAAGCAGACATTTCAGAACTTCTGGGCTTGGCAGTTTGTTGGATGAGCTCTGCTGGGGCCCTACCTCTCTAAACATTCCAAGACTTTGTCAAAGTGGTAACAGTTTTCCAAGCTCCGCAGCGCTCTTCATAGGGATGTCAAGACCTGATGGGTTTTGGTGATGCTGCAGTAGATATGTATGTATGCGTTATGTTGAATCCCAATACTTTTGGAAATTGACAAGCGTTTGAAGCTGCTTGGAGCTGATCGATTCCGGTTCTATTTGTGTAAGGGTTCTGAAGTTCCCAGTAGTTGGAGAAGGAAAGCTCAAGGTTGGTAGGCAAACAAGAATTAAAATGGCAGTCCTGAAAATGCTCAGGTGCCCAAAAAGCATGCAAGGACGTCTCGCATGCTCGAAAATCATTCCATTTGATTCAGCAACTGCTGGCTGCACACCATGCTGACTGTTGACTTTGTAATTCACAAAACAAAGGCCGCTTTGTCATTATCATGACTTTGCATCCTGCGGCAGGCGCAGGAACTCCTCGTGGAACAAGGCCTGGTGCATGGACTGAGGAGGATGGCTCAGTGGGTTTGCACCTAGGAATGCACACCTGTAGCAGAAGCTGAGACATAATTTGTAAGCTTGCGCAAAGGTCCTTAACACGCCCAATGACCTCCTCCTGATTGCTTCTTGCTTCTAGTTCTGGCACATGTGGAGGCGAGGCTGAGCTTGAGCACCTGCGACAGGAGGCTGGGCCGTATGGGATTGGAAGCTCTCAGGTTTCTCAGACAGGCAGCAGTCCTCTTCCTTCGCCTGCCTTCGTATTTATCAGCATTGGCAGACTTCGTGTGAGAGAATGCTCTTGGCTTCAGTCTGACAACCGCGCACATCTTGGAAATGCAAGAGATTCCAATTCACAAAGGAAGTCTAGTGCTAGTGAGCCGACTCATCTACGCCAAGAGATTGCAAGCAAAGCCAGGCCAGGGAGGCTCAGCGCCGCCGGTCCGAGGCAGAGCAGGAGGCGGCACGAAACTCCTTTCCGCTCTTCAAATCAAGCCGGCTAGATCCGCCTGGCCTTACGCGCCGGATGCACCCGAAGGAGCTGCGACTGGCTGCAGCGGCAAGGCTGCCGGGTTTGATTCTTATCAAGCAGAACATGCGCAGAAGTGTTCCAGCCAGCACAAGTTCAGCAAAACGCCCAATGAACCGCTGCCTCAACGCCATTTCGGATCAGGGCTTCGGAGGAACAGAGAGCAGTTTTTCCTTCACACTGCTGCGCGCTCGAGCCGGAAGCCCCAAAGCCATGGCCTTCACCGGCAGTCCTTTCCATCACCACTTGAGGGCCCTCACAGCGGAGTATGACAAAGTCATGGCTGAGAATTATGAGTTGCGAAAAGAAGTGCAAAAGGACTTGCAAAAGGACTTGCAAAAGGACTTGCAAAAGGACCGTGGCGCCATTTGGCGACTCCACCAACCCTGGGGTGCTTAAGCAGCCTTTGTTGGAATGGAGGCTTTCAGGGTACAGGAAGCATTGTCCTGTCTACTGCTGAGCGCCTGCAGGATCCTTTGCTGCGACATGTTGCCAGTACTGCCTCATCCGTGTCTTCCCCAATTGCTTACGGCATCGTGGAGCCTGTGAAGCCTATTGCTTGCTTGGAGTTGCGACTGGGACTAATGGGCTAATCAAATGCACTTCACACCCCACTCTGAATTTTCCTAGGCTTCTCCCTCAACAAGAGAACTTAGACGCACTCTGATACGAAGGCCAGGGCTGGTGAATGAGGCAGATTCTCCGCCTGGGCCGGGCCACCTGGCTGCATTGGGACAGCTGTTCAGGATGAATGGACTGTCTGGCCTTGTGATGTTCTCCCAAGACGTTAGGTTGATGGCGCATAAGCAAGTTGTTCATCTCGCTGTCTAGCATCTGAGGCGATCCTCCTCCGTCACTAGAGAAGAGGACGTCTCTCAAGTCGCTCACGACTCCGAGAAGCTCGAAGTCATGTCACAACGAAAGCCCGCGAGCAGGGGGTAAAACCCGCATCAAGGAAGAGCAACTCGGACACGTTCAGTCATTCTCACCCACCAAGCACGGGAAGCTAGAGTTCACAACTGAGGACAACAGAGGACAATTCAACATTCTTGCTAATGCTGGACATCATCCCAGCTGGTGTCATTCTGGTCAATGCAGCCGTTGCTGGCAACTTGGCCTTACTTGCCAGCAGGTGTACGTATGGTGCTACCGTCATCTGCCGTTGAATTGCAGCAGGTCAAGCCGCAACAGCCTGCACTGTTGCACTGATGCACGTGAGGTCTCAGTGCGGACTACGATGAGTACGAGTCATTGTGGCAGGCTGCCGTTGAAAACTGGCACTTGCGCTGAGTCCAGACGTCAGTCACTCCGCATGTTGTGACTGATGGACCGCATTACAACAGTCGGTAGAAACCTGCGCGGCCTCAGCAAAAGTGTTATGAATTTCTCCTTTGACGCGTTTTCTTGCAAGTCTTCGCAGACAGCATGGAGGTCCTCGAAGTTTGCTTTACGCTTTTCTTCATTGGCGAGATCCTTGTGAAAATAAAGGTGTTCACCATTCGAATTTTTTTGCTTGGTGGCACTCCTAGCTTTCAGCCTTCTTTGAAGTTCTTTGACAGGCAACCGCAGTCAGACTAACCGATTAGTTGTGCTGGAGCGTCTGTATTGTCTGATTTCTAAGGTCCTGACTGGTATTGGAGCTGGTTTGACATTCTTTGTGTGGTTCTGGCTTTGGTGGACCTTTTGACCCTCACTTTGCTGACCTCAAGTGCAGAGCCAGTGGTCGTGACGAACTCGACGTCGACAGGAAAGGATGAGGCAGCTAGCGAAGGCAGTGTGGCCGGGATCCTGAAGATGCTCAAGCTTGCCCGGCTTGGCCGCATCATCAGGCTGCTAAAGTTCAAGCGCCCTGGCATGAATGGTGCAGAATGGAAGGACAGTTGTCCCATGTTCCTGCCACTGCTGTGCGGCATGCTTTCCTGAACATGTCTGAGGATTTTTACTGAGCTCAAGTTGATGATCCAGGGGGTTGCTCCGACTTCATTATTCTCAAGCTACTGGTAGTGTCCGTGGCAGCTAGAGCGGACGTAGACATGCGTGGTTTGCCATTGATGAGTAGCCGAGATGCCGCTTTTGTCAAGCCCGTACAGCAGCCCGCTGCAATTCGTTGCCTGAAGCCAGGTTTTCACAGGACTGCGAGTTCTATTTTGGGCAGTTGTCCTTCTCCTCCTCTGCATGTACCTTCTTGGGGTGGTGACGAAAACCCTCTTTCATCACTATGCCGCTCAGCTGTTAGTCCTTCAAGGCAGGTACAGAAGGTACAGCTTGGGTAGGGAACCTCTGCTCTGGTGCAGGTTTGCCCCGAACTTACCGTAGCACGAAAGCCACCGCACGCTTCACATGTTTTACTTGTGCATCGAAGCGACATCTGTGGATGTCCAGCTTAAGGACGAGTTCAGCACAGTCCCTGATGCAATGTTCACTAATTTCCGGTGCTTTACTGACGGATGCGCGACTTGGTCTTGCACATTTGCATGTACTCTGGCAAAACAACGCTTGCTTAAATGCTGCCGTCCTTCAAACATGACCAGCATCCGGCCTAGGCAGACCTGGACGGTCGGCCTTTGCAAGAACGCCTCCGGAGAGTCGATGGAGGGGGTCTTTTCATGTGGCTTGACCAGCAGCCATGGATAGTCCAAAAAGGCTGGAGAATGCTAAGCAGCCCTTTGCCCTCGATTGAGAGGGCACGCTTGCTCTTGAATCCAAAGTAGCCTTGACAACATCTTGAGCCATGCAGATGCCATGCCAACTGTCTGCTAGCCTCCATCGTGGCTGCTGCCTGAGGTTCTCCTACATTCTGTTGTTCCTGTTCGTTACAATTGGAATCTTCAACCTGATAATGGCGGTACCTTAGCTGCGAATTCCGGAAGGGATGAAAGCAAATTATGAAACAGTACTTCCTTGATTTTTCAACACGGCGAAGGGTGTTTGCAGTGCTTCCTTTTGACATGAAATGTTTCCAGTTCGAATTCCCCAAGAACTGATGACTTGCATTGTGACTGTGGCATGACTTTCTGTGTGACGGCCCCATTTTGCACCTCCCCCTGTTTTTTGATGCAGCATAGGCAGAAAAGACCACTCATGTTGCGTGCAGGGTCATAGCTCCTAGCACCTGCCCGCAGACTTGGATTTTGCATATCTGTTGGCTGCTGCATTTGACATTAAGGTGTTCATCGATAATGTGGCAGATGGCAGCACAAAAAAGAGGCAGCGTGAACTGGGTGAGAACGCACCTAGAACTGAACCTTGGCAAGCTATTGCCGTTCCTTGCTGAATGGGCTATGCTGTGACTGGTATGAATGTGTCTTCTCAGGCATGTCATGTCATGCTGATGGCAAGGAATATGTCTTGGCGACATCTCTGCGGCACCTCATCTTGACCAACATCTTCCACAATGAGACCAAAGACTTAACGGAGGAAGAGCGGACTCGAATCCTGAACGAGAAGCTGGAGAAGCTGAGGGAGATGTATGGGTATATGCCACACACGGCGCAGGCAACTTGAGCTTGTGAAGCCGCCTGACTCGCAGGGGTCGAACAATCAGTGTACCCCGTACAAGCCTCGCTCAGGACAATTTTGTTAAGAAATCCACAGGCAGAGTAAGCAGCCACAGTCGCAGCGTCACAGACCAAGATTGTCCAGTATAGAGATGTGTTTGAGTTTGATCGTCCTGGGCAGGAATACGAGCAATTGGCGGACGAGATCCGCAGCGAGATGCTACAGCGAAAGGTGGTTGTCACCCAAGATCAGTTCAACAGGCCCTGTACTCTGAAGCTCAGAGTGTGACTGCCCGCCGCTGACGTTCGCAGCCTTGGATTGTCAGGTGGCTTTCGAGCGAGAAGGACTTGATCACAAAGCTGGAGGATGCTGAGATTGACCTCTCCTGCAAGTCCGACTTGTTCGACACTTTGAGCTGATATAGGGTATAGGCTTGAGATGGCTTGAGGTCAAGGCTTCGGCTTCGCAAGTCCGAATCCATGCTTTCGGCAGCACCTGCAGCGCATGTCATGTTTGCACGCTCACCAGGAAGTTCTCGATGCGGACCTCAGTTTGGGCCTTGGCGAGCTGCACCTTTGGACTGCCGTGCATTTGATAAAGCAACGCTCGCAGGTGGTGAACTAGAGTTCGATGAGATGGTAGATGGGCTACTCAAGTGCCGTGGCCCTGTATCGAAGACAGACATCATCTCTATAAGGCTGAAGACGGTGCCTTGGCACCGCTTGTGCCCTGCAGTTTTTGAAGGGTTCTATCCGCCACGCTTGCCTAGCATAGCAATAATTTGCATCTGAGGACCTGCTAGTGAAGATGATGTCACAGGTATGTGAAAAACTCGGAATTGAGGATGACGACTGAATCCCTACACCGAAGGTGCTGAGGTGTTTGCTGGACTGTCTGCCAGCACATCCCTGCAAGCACTTTGGTTTCGTTGCGTAAGGCATGATGCATGGATTCTAGCAGTCGCAAGTTGACATGAAAGCGGGATGTTGCATGGCCTTTCTTTTTAAAACTGGAAAAGAGAGGTGCTGTGAGCAAGCCTTTGCTGCGCTCTCTCTCTCCCTGAACATGAACAAGTTTGTGCAGTTTGACTGGTTTCCAGTGCAAGAACTGCTAGTCGCTAGTGCACGCTGCCTTTGCATGCTGGCAGCTGTTGAGCGTAGCATGCGTCCGTTGTTGAGGAGAAAAAGCCAGGGCCCCTGAATGCCCTTGCGTTCACAAGAAAGGTAAAATCGCTAGATACTTTAGCCGTTAGTTACTTGGTGTCCCTGAGGGGTTGGGCCACAGATAGGCCTGGGTGGTTTATTTGGGAAACCTCAATGAAGTTCAGGGTCCGATCGGAATTCCTTAGATTTGGCCGAACCTGTGCATTTGGCCAGGGGGCCTCTAAGCAAATCCGACACTTACATGGCTCCAAGCATCCTCAAGGTCCCAAGGAGTACCACTCGCAAGAACGAGCTGCCGTGATCTTTCATTTTTTAGACGTCGGCGAGGCAAGACCAAGTCACGCTGGAGCAATGTCGAATCGACCTCCGCCGACTTCAAACAAGGCAGTGGCAGAGTACAGATACTTCCTTGATTTGCAGGGTGATCGTCAGCACACCACTCATTGTCCAGGAATGCGGAACTCGAGCGGCAATTGGATTTGCTGCATGGAACAAAAATTGCATGACATGTGGCGGGAATGCCGCCGGAGTGTTGCGATCTTCAGTGCTCAGTCACTCACATGCGCTGGGCAGGGCACCAGCCGCGCAGGTGATGCCTGAAGCTCATGAAGCGTAGTCGCGCTTGGCTGCCTCTGCGCGCCGCAATCACTCGTGCACCACTGGTGAGGCCAGAGCATCAAGAAGTCTTCATGCGTCAGCTTTGAAAGTTTTCACACCACACCTACTGTAGGTGCTCACGACCCTGGCATGAACTAGAAATTAAGATTGGACTAAGAACATGCAAGCAGCAGAAGTGATTCCGCGCACATTGAAAACTCAACGCATGCCCATCGACGTTGTTCCTTGAGGCAGAACCTTATAGATGGCAGCAGCCGTGTTACTGCGAACTTCTCGCTGAGCCATGGTGCCTGTCGCCTTTTTGTGGACAAGCTTGAGTCATTCTCGGATGCAGATCGCAAAGCATGCTTCCTGTGGAGCACGCAGCAAGAGGAAGGCACGCCCGAAGAAGTGCTTGCCAAAAACTGACGGCACTGGCCAAAGTGTCCTGTGAAATTGTACGCTACATAAGCAACCTGCAGGTGCTAGCGGCGCTGGCGGCGGCGTTGCTGCTTTCAGCAGCGTCAGTAAGCTTTGCCGCCGTGGGCAGTGTAGACGAGAGGACGTTTGTTGCAGTTTGGCTTGTACGCCTCTGTATCACGTGCGTCGCAGTTGCAGCTGTAGAACGCCTCGGGTCAGGTGTCTAAGTTTCTCGATCCTCCATGGGTAAGCGTATCCCAAGACATGCTTTGTTTTGCTGGAATTGTCAGCCTGCACCACCTGCGCATGGGGCATGCTAAAAGTTTCTGTGAGACCCGTAAGGTTTCATCAGAGTGGCTGAGGCTTGCGGCAACTGTCCTCACATGGAGAGGGCTTGTGCAAGCCTCTGAAAACCAAGGTCAACAAAAGGCTAGGTGTGTTCTCTTTGAACTTGACGAATGCTAAGAAACCCTGGTCCAATCCCCTGGACAGGTTCTCGACTAGGGGGCGTCTCAGTTGTGTTGCTTCTTGGGGAAATGCGTCAGCTTTCCAACCACTCGCCAGCTAAAAGCCTTCCAGCCAAGCAGCCAACCAAGTCAGCGTGTGCGGAATTTGTGCAGCTGTTATCGTCTGTTGCCGTAGATATTTCCCACAGGCGGATGTGTATTTACCTCGCCACCCCTCCATGACAGTGGAGGGGTGTTGTGCTGGGGGGGGCAGGCTGCGTAAGCCTTTGGCGGCCATTACCATCTGGAGTTGATAAAGAAGTTCAGCAGTGGTTTGTATCATGGCCTTGGTGCAGGAGTGTGGCGATGATCATCATCGTCTCGTTGTCATGATGACTCCTCTTTGTTAGTTATGACGGCGATGATCGTTGGATCGGTTTGCTTGTGGACGTTGTGGCGGGAAGGGGGCAGCAGGAGGGGAGCTTGATCGCCGGGACCTCTAAGCCTTGGATTCGAACTCCCCGCACCTCCGACCGGGCCGACTGGATGCTCGGCAAACATAGGACCTGAGTGCTAGTGGCATGATGTCCAATACCGCAGGATTCCACTGGAGAGCCTCAAAGTTGGAATGGAGGTGGACGCTCAGATTGTCCGAAAGCACAGATTCAGCGGTTGGCCACTTGCTTCAAATAGCATCATTTAGTGTCATGGCGAATGTGCACATGTTTTTTGCAGGTACCACAACCTTGTCCTCAGGCCCAGCACGAGGCTGCTAGGTCACCTTGTGAAGGAATTTCTTACCTCACCCATGTCCAAGAAAGGATGAATCCTGCTAGGAAGCTTTTAGAACATGGCTGCTCCTTTTAAGCTTGCTGTTCCAATGCACAATGTGTCCCGAGAGCCTGGGAATCTGACCCTACAGATCCAGGGCCTCGGCTCTTTCTCGGATCGTCCGCGTGTTGCTTGTCTTCTGCAGATGTTTACAGTTCGCCAGTGCTCCAGGTTTGTGAACATCGGGGCAGAGAAGCAAGCCTTCCTGGAGTTTGAGGAGGCGTGTGATGGCTTCCCCCAAGAAGGCATGTCTACGTGGCGTGCCCGGGCTCTAACTGTCAGTGGCGGCGTTTGGTGGTCCTAGGTCTCGGTTAAGCTGTGTATCCGAGTATCTGAGTACATGGATCCACACTGACCGCCCGCATCTTAGAACCTTGGCTGAAGGCTGTGTGTGCCAGCAGTGGGAGCAGGGTCAGAAGATGAAAGCAAGACTGAGCTTAGCCGGGTTAATCGCGCTCAAAGCTGGCCTTCACAAGGCCAGCTTGCAAAAAGTTACCTCGAAGGGTTGCGTCAGAGCCACTTCAAGGGCCGTTGTAGGTGCGGACAAGGTTCGAAGAGCTTTGATGGTCGTTGCTGGGGTCATTTTTGGAGCCCGCGTGGGCTGACGCCCAGAACTTTTGCAGGAGGCTGCGCGTACAGGCCGAGACTACAGTTTGAGTTCGCGCGTAACATGAGCTCTTTGTCGACCTGCAGTGAAGCACAGCTGGAAAGCCTATATTCAATAAGAGCACTTGCCGATTGACAAGGAAAACGATGGCAACAAGATTTGGCTGACGACGCGCAGCGGTAGCCTGGAGCGTCCGGAGCGTTGCATGGCCTGCTTGGGGTTAAGGTCTGAGGGAGTCTCGCTCATGTTCGTGGATCTTCTTGAAAGCCCCTTTAGAAAGGATCCTCTTATCATGGGAGCTATGATGATCACCTTTATTTGGAGACATGGCCGCGCGGGAAGTGGAGTTACTGCTAAGCTTGCCGTCAAGGATCTGCTTTCGGCTCACCAACATCCTATCGTTACACGTTGCGATCTCCTATCCTCATCAGTTAATTTTGAGAGAATGTGATCTTCCTTAAGTTTGCTCGTTTTGTAGCCTTCGTTTTGCAAACTGGCTGTCATCGGCTTGACATGTTTTCGAGGTGGAAGTGTAAGTTCCGATGTTGCTGTCATCATGACAATGGGTGTTTCAGCTGTCAAGCCCTTTCACAGGTTTCATGCGCAAAGCATGCAAGTTGGCAAGTGCAGCTCACACTTTCGGCCTAGCCTTTGACAAATCCAAGGCTTCCGGACACCCCCTGAGGAGAGTCAGATAGCGGAGTTCAGACGCCTAGCAATAACTGTTACGTCACAAGTTGATTTCGCATCATCTCCTGCAATTGAGTTTTGGCAATGGGGCAGGCAGGCACCAGCTGTACAGCTCAGCTGAGGCGAGCTTTCGCCAACAGAGACTTGATTGCAAGCAGTCCAAAGTCAACTAGTCAACTTGGCGAGGGGCCAGCTTGAAGACGGTTTGGCCACGAGTACCTTCGATGCTGCTGTCGCATAGTCCTTTCAGTTGCTAGCGCTGGATGTCTCGCAGCAACGTGTCTGTCGGTTCTTATGGGTGTCCTTTCTTCTGATCACCCCAAGTAGTTCGGTCATGCTACATATTGCAATACAGCCCTGTTCAAATCAGCAGCAGTTTTACGTTGTTCCAAATGTGGTTTTCAGTGTTGTAATCCTATGCCATTCTGCCAAGGCATCGTCTGCACAGCTGCTTGAACTGCTCCCGGAGCTTCTACCCCTACTAGTTTCTCACAACTACTTCTCCACAAACTCCTTCAACTGCTTCCAAGCTGCTGCTGCTGCTGTGCCCGCCTAGTACTGGCCTGAGGGACCGGCTGGGAAGTGCTTAGGGTGCTGTCAGCTTTTTTT